ATGCATAAAGGAGAAATATTAAAAATTTGCCTAATTATCCATTTCGTGATTAATTCCGATTGGAATATTGACGAAAGCATTTACCACTTAACCGGCTGTAATTAATAGCTTAAATAATGCTTTTAACGTTCCTGCGATATCTTTCGATTGTGAGAGAATTTGACGTGAATCGTTTGTTTAATTAACGAGAGATAACGCCGATGTATGTGTTGTAGCGGTATGCATGCTTGTTCTGGTATATTGATATGCAAGATATATCTTGAGTTTATGGGGTTATTAAGGACTTCATCCGTGTCTCATGGCGGGATTACTACGTTATTATCCTTCGGTAAGTGGCAGGCAGGTTGGTCGGCTGGCTGGTCGACCCCTTGTAAGGAAGACCAAACATCGTCTCCTCCTTACACGGTCCCTCAAGCTACTAGTGAAACTAGTAAGACATTCGCCCCCTCCAATCCAATCCATGGAACCCAGTTGTGAATTTGACCCTCGTAATTAATTTATGACGTCGTTCTTGTTGCAAAGCCAGTTGAGTAAGCAGAGAATAACTGACCTCACACGTGAAAACGCTCCTTCTCGAACTTTGGCCAATTACGTCTTACGACTCGCAAATAATTTCAAAGACACTACATGATTTCACTTTACCTAATATTGCAATTTATTGGCTCATTTATTGTTTTTAAATATACACGACATAAATTATTTACGTAAAAAGCATATTATAACATTTGATTTAAAAAGAATGCAAAATTATTTAAAGTATATTAAATTATAAAACATACGAAAATAATATTAATTATCCTCTAAGAAGTATTTATATGTCGATTTTAACATCATTAGTGTGATATTTACTTAAGGAAATGCTCGGTACTATTATCGGGCATAGTTTTCCATATATTATACAATACATATTTTTCCAATAGTACGGTTAATATAGAAAATCCGTAAGATGATAAGCGTTACGATCCTGTGGCGTCTTTCATATACTCATACCGATCGCTCCCGCAGGATTCCTCTAATGCCTCCGCTTCCGCCTGGTGCACACGTATCCCATACTTATTACGAGCCTAATACAAATTCTACATGGAAGCGAGAGTTGTTAGAAGGCGTACGGTGGTGCGCGGCGAGACGCAAGAATCCATAGATCGCGGGGCTAACAATCAGCCGTAAATTATGGTCTCAATATCCATTGTGTACCCTACTTGCTCTTGAGCGGGCCTAACCCCAAAGTCTGAGGCCAAGACTACCCACCCCATCGGCAGCTCAGAGACGGTTGGCTCTCTCACGGCCTGGCTGAACCGAGAGATATGTATATTAATGGGGCAATCTTACATAGTTTTGTTTACCTTGCCATTCTCCCAGTACGTATACAATTACTATCCCCCAATCCCTATGGTGCGCTGGCACGAGAGCCGTCTCCGTTACAACCCCCTCGGACTACGCCACACCGCGCCGGCCTCCGACTTAACTAGTTTCCGCCGACGTCACTATCGCGTTTGGCTGCCGCGTTCTGTTCCTTCCTGAAGCAGAGGCGAACTTTATGAAGAATTTCACTATTATTTGTTTAGACAAGTCAAAAAAATTTTAAGCTCTCAAGACTCCATTTTGAAAATGTTAATATGTTTATTAACATTTAATATTTGTAAGCGCGGATTTTTTAAGGTGTGGATGTATAATTAATGTAAAGCTTATTTTTATATGATTGTAACTTGTTCTTGATACAATGTACCTCAATTACTTTTCATCAATAGTATAAGGCAAACGATATAAGACGAATAGATAAATTTATAAAATTTGACATAATTATAATATAAAGTAAAAAATAAATATATAGGTTCTCTGTTTTAAAATTACTTGCTGCAATTCTTTATAGATTTCTAATGCATTAAAGTATCACTTTTTAATTAAATATTACTACAAATATTGAATTATGAAATTCTTATTTTAAAATCGTACAATATTTTATATAATTTTAATATAAAACATTTGAATAAGTGATGTTACATAAATTAATTTTCTAAGAACGATCGATTATACATATTAAATCAGATAAGGAAAATCTAATTTAATGAGCCGTATTAATAATAGTACATATGTATCAATATTGTTAATCAATAAGAAGTGTGAAGAGAAAGGACGTTTTTTTTCTCCGAGACATTTAAAGCCGATGCGATGTCGGATGCGACAGGACGCGTCCGATTCGCTAGAGTATTCCAGTATCGTAGAGATTTAGTGACGCGTGTCAACGCGTCTGCAATATGTTCAAGCCGCTGACGGCGACGATCGAGGTCGAAGGATGCTATTTTTAAAAACTACACCAGTCGTTGCGGCGATATTCCGATGCGAGAGCGCGTATCCGATAAAAACGAATTCCGTTCTTGAAGGGCTCAAACGCCGATGAAAATCCATTCTACGGCGCGCCGGCTTTCAGCAAAGAAAATATTGTCCGCGGCGCGGGCGCGGGGTAGCCGGGAGGATCGCGGTAGAGAGCGGCACTTTTCACCTTCGCTCTTCCACCCCGGTTTTTAATTCCGTGCGTGGCGTGGCACACGGCGCGCGCGGACCGGCTTTGTAGCGGAATGTACATTTCTCCCGCTGAACAACCTCATTTGTGTAATCCCCGAAGCTTCGACAACAAACTGTCTGCGGCATCGGAATGGCGGGGGGTGCACGGGGGTGTGAGCACGACATTAACGTACTTTGTAGTTCAGCTCTCTGCGGCAGTCGTCCTTCTCCGCCCCTTCTCTCGTTCCGCTCTCGCACTCCACCTCGCGTCCCTTTACCACCAAGGTTCCGTCGTCCTGGATGAAATTGCGATTGTAATAGCAATTATCTTATTTCTACTATTGCTTCTTTGTACTTCGATTCGCGACATACGGACTTGGTGCTGATGCAAGCCGGGAGACAGGAAGAGCCGACGGGGTGAGCGGAAGGACGGGCGGAACGGAGGGTGGTTCGCGAATGGAATTAAATGTTCACGGGATAGCTCGGGAAGGATCGTGACGCAATTTAAGTCGCACAGTATTTGCCGGAACGGAACGATGGCTCTTTCAAAGTCCAACATTACGCGCAATAGTTATAACGCTTTTTTGGTATTGTTGCGCTTTTCGTTTATACTTTTTCATGCGCTCGCGCTTTTAATATGCGTTGCATTTGAAAGCTCACTCGGCACTGTGTGGTAGGGGATTGGCGATTTTTATTGGCCGCTTAAGGGGTTGTGTGATGGGAGGAAAAATATTGAGAGAGAAAACTAATTATGCTTTTTTAATTATATGAGTTTTTACTATAGTATTTAATTTTATATTGTGACAAGAAGATTTTGTAAATGCCATGCGGCAAAGATATTACAATTTTTTTAAATGTCACGCTATTGTGAAAATTATTACATCGACATTATGTTTGCGCTGATTATGATGCAGAATGTTTTTTAATTTTTTTAAAACAATATACATATTATATTTAAAAAAAATAATATATGAAATTTGTTGAGCTTATTCACATATAGAATTGATTTGATGAATAAAGAAATTAATTTAAGAAATCTCTAAAAAAAAATTTGATTCATATTAGATAAAAATGAATGTTAAAACGCGATGAATAATATAAAAGATATAATATAAAATAATAATTATATTAATAATTCTAATATATTAACTGTAGAAATATTTAAAAATTTGTGTGTAACTCATGTAAAATTTATGTGTAAGAGTATAGACATTAATTGTATTGTTACTTCTCTTATGAATTTGACTTTCTTTTTAAATTACTTAACAGATGTAATACTTTTGCGATAAGAAAATGGACATCCTTGAAAATGATACTTCAGTTTGATTTAAGATGCAGTAACAAACTGAGATCGAGGGCAAATCGTCGAGTGTAAAAGCGAAAAGCTGCATTGCGACGTCGAACGTAGAGGTTTGGGGAGGGGGGGGGGGGGGAGGGGGTGGCAGCGTCGACAACGAGAGATTGACTTGAAGGCTGCGCGCCGCGCGGGTGGTTCATATAGGGGGTTGTCGGCACGGCGCGGCGTGGCGGTTCGAGTTGGAGAAATGGTCTCAACTCGCGCCGCTCGGCCTGAAATTCGCCCGAAGTAATCAATATTATAGCTCGCGAAGATATATGCGGGAGGATGTGGGCAAACACAGTGTACACACGTGCATTGTTACATGGCCGGGGGAGGTGGACGGTATAAGGAGGGGTTGCCGGGAGAGATGAAGCTTCGTGGGAGGAGATGATGAAGAAGGGGGACTGAAGGGTGCCACGGGGCTCGCAGAGCGAAGCCACGGTTATGCGGGGCTGGTGGGAGGAGGAGTAGGGCCTGAACGGAGGAAGGAAAGGGGTGGACAGCCGGACAAACAAAACCCTTGCTGCTTCATTTCTGCCCGTCTGGCCAGACACCGACCCTTTATACGCGCGCGCTTCCGTCCTACGCTCGCCGCCACCCCTGCCCGATGCGTGATGGACTCGTACCACTCTTTCGTTGACGTTCCGAGACGAACGGGACTTTCTACGCAGTACTTTTCGAGTTTGTTAATTAACGGAGTCGAAGAATACGTCGTAATGGCTCCGAATGGAATTGATAGTCTCAAACGCAGAGTATTGTTCTTCTCACTGGCGGAATGAACTCATTTCATCGGCTGGCTTGTCGTTGTGAGAGACGTTGAAGAGATTAGGGGCGCGTTGTACTCTTTCAATATTTTATTTATTCAGAATATATCTATTCAAAATTATAATCTTGAAAAGTGAAAAGATATATGTGAATCTTTAATTTATATACGGCTTCTATATAAATTTTTAGTTGCATCTTTGTGTTATTTTAATAAATGTGTGTTTGTAAAAAATCATGTGTAATAAAAATACTTGAAAAAAATAATAAATCGCCATAAAGTAGAAATGATACTTTATATATAATGATGAAAAATAATAATTAACTATACGATTAATTTTTATGTACATATTTAATTTATTACTTGATGATTACGATGATTTAATTTTTGTTTTAGGTCAGTGGTGTATACTTCCCTGGCTTCTGAGACACAGTGACGTGGCTTGTTGATGTGAGTCAGAGTACTTTTCGTAGTTGATGTGCATAATACTAAGATCTTTCGCAACTTAGAATGCGTAAAGTTTTATTACTTGCTTTCTTATTAAGCATATATTTGGAAATTAATGATTTTAGACGAGACACGTATGTCCTTTTAATTATGATAAAAAATTTATAAGATTGCGGATCAACTACATGAGATTTACATAAAAGTAGATTGCACTAATTCAATTTAAGTATGACATTAAATAATGTGGGGTATACATACATAGAACTTCGTGCAAACAGAACTAAAGTTCCATTTTGATATATATTCTGAATCATATTAATAGAGATTTTCATTTTATGAAATAATCCTATAGTTTTCGAGATTATGAATCTTGCAAAAAAAACTAAATTCGAGCCGATAGATAGTTAAAACGCATTGATTTGAATATCTAAAACAGAATCGATAGCTCTATTGTCAGTTTTAGATCGATGTCGCGACTCCTTCTGAATATTTAAACAACAAATATTAAAACTTTCGTCGCGCGACGCGACGAAACCCAAAGTTCTTCCAGTCTTCGTAAACTCGCGATCAGAGATCACCCTTCATATGCGACGACCCTAAAACGTTATGAGTGTTGACGACGAGCGTTGTCAAAATTTTGGCGTACAACCCCCCGTTGCATATAAGGAATCACGATTTGGGTGAGTCGAGGGTAAGAAGGATACCATCCGAATATTCGGGTGACATAATACTTCTTAAGTCGTAAACCTCCCTTGCTTCTCGGCTGAGCGGTATTCCTGAAGTTTCGTATCGGCAGTCGTACAACAAACACGATTATCGATGTCTCGTTCATTCCCTAAAGCAAAGGGGAGGAAAACGCACCCTCGGATCCCACGTGCTGCTCCTTTCAACCCTCTCTATTCGCGCCGCGTATTTTACGTCGTCGTTTCCCGAAGGATCTTTTTTCCACCGAGACCTTTAGAATTATCGTTTTCGCGTCGAATCAACGGCATTATTTTGCAAACAAAAATCATTAAAATTTAAAAATACTTTATACGCATATTCGTATAAACCAATATAAATTATAAAAACTATCGGAAGGAAGATGATCTTATTTATAAATAAATTTGTAATTTTAGTTTATACACGAATAGCAGCATTTTTTATTTTCCAAAAAATCAAGAAAATGATTTGCATAAAAATATATATGGTACTTTTTCTAGTGAAACAATTTAATTTTTTATCCACAACGTTTGCTGGAGAGTTGATCACTATGCAATATATGCATAATTTGCACTTCTTGGAATATGTAATATTCAAAAGTAAAGACTGCTTATATGAATGACTCAACTGAGTTAATTCTTTTCGTCATTCATTTGTTTCAACATACCTATTATGTTACTTATAGGACATGCGATGCATGTCAGGCTACTACAAGAATACATTTGACTCGTTTCTGGATCAACATTTCAGTATTCGTTGGCTACTTGCTCATGCAGTACATTAGCATTCGAGCTAATTAAAACGTAACTGAAATTATAATTATCTGGGTTATCGATGGTAATGCGTAAGCGGATGGTGCAGCCGGAAGTTAGTCCGTTACGTTGCATACTGCATATTTTTTCTGCTTGGCTCGCAAATAAAGAGGATGCCTGATTGTTCTAGAAAAGCAGATGTACTGATAGTTTTTCTCCACAAAAGATGTTTCTGCCAATTAATTTCTACCACACACGAGCCACTCTTATGCTTTCTCTTCTCTTCCTCTACTAATCACCTTGCATATAATTTAAATAAACATTTTCGGGGAAATTCTGTGAAATAAATATGGGAAGAATATAAATAAAATATAAAATTATGCATAAAAAATATGTGCCTCATCGTAGAATATTTTATATATCGTTCTATTTAATTGTTTTTGTTGTGCTTGAAAAAAATGACTAAATAATAACGTTGAAAAAATTATTCATACAAGTGAAATTTAATTATTTATGCAAACATACGATATTGTTTGGAACTATTTGTTAGAATTTTATACATAAACGTTAATGTAATCGAAGTTTGTTTTTTTGACACAAACATTGATGTATATAATCGAAGTTCAGAGCAAGTACATATACATAATAATAGCATGTATTAAAACGTATTCTATATATAAATTTTATTTTTATAAAATTTATTTTTGATATTTTATTTATCTTTTTGTTTTGTTGCTTTTCAAGACACTTGTTATAAGAATGATATAATTTCGCATTTAATTTGTATAATTACAACTAGTTACACTGTAATTCGATATACGGTCAAATAGTTTCATTTCATTTGCTCTATTTAATCAAGTAGCCAAGTTAGTTGCCAACATTAAACGCATTCCCGATATTACTAAGATACTAATTATTTGCTGTCGACCGAGTGGGGGCTTTATCCTCTTGTATATGAATGGGTGCAGCGCGTTCCTGCCTGCCTGCGTACTAACCGCATAGAGGGTGGTTTCGGATGAACGCTCGGGATATTGCTTGCGTTATTGAGCGTGTTAATTGATATTTCTTTCGTTCGAATTTATTTTTAAAAGCGTAGAGCGGCTGGGAGCTTTCCCGCCTCCGGGAAATTTGCGTTTTCCTGAAACTGATAATAATATATACCGCCGATATATCATTATACCTTTGTCCTTTGTTCTCGCAGTGACACCAAGTGCTGACGACAATTAACATTTTTACATTATTTATTCACTTTTGTAGCTTGCGCGCGGACGATCACGCGGTTGAAAATAATTCGTGCACTCGTTCTCCTTTGTACTAATTATAAATAAATATTTTATACAACGTGAAAAAAGCGGCTCGGTACAACAGTATTATATAACAATTCCCCACCGATCTCGGTATCTATAATTGACTTCCTTATTTATACGCATTTGCAATCGTAATATGTTTTTTCGTATCTTATTTTAATATATTTTCTTTTCTATTAACAAGAAAATGCGCGTTGCTTGAAACATAAAAAAATATTGGCCATTTATTTCATAATATGCATCGTATAATATATTATATAATACAACATAAATCGTTTTAATATCATTGGTGAAAGATATTATATTAGTTATTTAATATACCTCGATATGTATAATATTGAAGAAGAATTAAAAACAAAAAGATAGACTATAACAGGAAATTGATTTCGAAAATGGCATAGAATAATACACACACACACACACACACACACACACACACACACACACATGTATTTATATTAATTTATAGAACAAAATTAATGTTTATCCGTCATTATTTTTATAACACCAAAGGATGTCCCGCAAAACTTCAAATCGAAATGACTTATATAATTTGTAAAAAAATTTATGCCATCGTTGTACTCATTAGAACAGACGCTACAACTTTGATTATATCGAAAGATTTATTTTATTTCGTAAAAATTATATACATCTCTTCGTTCTCTAACATAGATAATTTTTTTAAGTGATCACTCTGCTTACAATAGAGTTTAATTAGAACCGTTTAATTTGATATTATATTATTTATTAGGTCTATCTTTGTTAGATTTTTTTTACAAAAGATAAGAATAGGCCATTTATACAGGAACATTTTTATATTATTTTATTTTATATATTGTATCTTTTAATATTACAATTTTTCAAGCTGTTAAATGAGATTTAACATTTTGAATTCTAAATCCATTATGATTGATTACAAATTAGAAGTCGTAATAAAATTGATTCCGTCGGTGATGGATTAATCGATTGCGCGGGAGCATTTCAAACGATCAAGATATAACCTGGCTGCCTATGATCAACGTCTGGTTAAACAAAAATGCGAATAGCAGTAATAAATGCTATTATCGGACATTGTGACAATCGTTTGCGAGCACTTCAGTAACGCGAATGTACTGTCCATTTAATTTCTCGGCAAACAATGGGATGATTACGCACCGATTATATTGTGTCAGAGGGCAGAGATGCGCTGGGAATTCCATGGTCAATCGTTCTATTAACTGTAACAAAAGTAACGAACAATCTTAATTGTAAATCAAAGGTAAATTTTGCATCGTTATGCATGTGTGACGTGTGTATAATGTAAAAGGTAATGTCAGTGTCAAGAAAATTCAAGAAGAATTGATTCATAATTTCAGTAGAACGTCATTTATGCAAATTTACTAAGTAAAACATGCAAAATAAAACGTAAAAGAAATGTGAATATGCGCTATTATTAATAATATTTTCGAAATATACGTATGAATGACTAAGCTTTTATTTTTTTATTATGATGTAGTTAATTAAAAGTCTGGGTAATATATTAATTTTTTCTAATTTATTAAATTTTAAATAGTTATTAGAACACTGAAGGATGATTTTGTTGAAATATCTAAGAACTTAGCTAGATACAAATTTGAAAATAATTTTATTAGATCATTAATAATTATGTAGGACACTCAAACTGATTACTCAAAATGTCAACACTTTTTGTAGCATTGCTTATCATGCTTAAGATTTCTACGTATAATCTGACGTATAATCTAACTTAATAAAATTTTTAGATCTGTATGTCCAGCTAAATTTTAAGATACTTTAGTAAAATTGTTCTTTCTATGTTGATTAAATTAATAAAATATCAAAGGTTGATATTCGTATTTTTTTTCTTCTCGTATAAATAAAATATTAAATTGAAGTAATGCATTTCTGTACAAATATTGTTTGCACATATCAAGAGTTTATTGCGCCCTGAGGAAGCTATGGAGTACGATGGATGTGCGAAATAATGCCATCAATATATAAAAAGACAACCCCGGCGCGAGCGTGTCGCTGTCCGGTAATAGAAACCGATTTGTCAAGGTGCCTTTACATTTCCACGCAGCGAGTTTCGCATCCGATAACCCGTTTTATCCCACGGGAACCCCGTCCGTATCCTCCTACCAACTTACTCATCCCAGTCGACGAGTCAGAGAATCACGAGGGCATCCCTTTTCAAATCCCGTCGTACGACGTGAGTGCGTGTCCGAGTGCGCCTACGGCCGCCTCC